CTAAGAAATGGTTTAAAAGTCAGAATATCTACACCATGGATTGCTAAGTACTAGGCAATCATATCTGCGCTCAAATTTCGGCAGTAATCATTGACACCCCAATTTTAATTTTTATCTTTTTCCTGCATCACAAATTAAAAGTTAATTTAATTTTTCCTGTAGGTCAATTTTAAGCTACCTTAAAACCTTTAACGCCATAAACTAAACTTTTTAATTTAAAATTTCTAAGACAGAGGATAGAAAGAAATCAAATTTATCAAGTTAAAAAGTTTATTACTAATATAATTATATCATTAGCTTTACTCATAAATTTTCTATAATAAAATGTAGAGATAATCATAAACACATCATTACAATAAAAAAATAATACCTTAAATATATATTTTTTGTAATGTTTTAAATATAATAATATATCAATTTTGCATACTGCTTTCCAAAATAAAAGATCCTCTTGATTTTAATAATGATCTTAAATCGAAGCCTTACTAATTAATAAACTCTCCTTTAAGGACAAGAGCTCCTTAAGCCGAAAATATTTGAGTTTGGGATATACAGAGAATAGTAATATAAGGGGTTACTAAATAATATAATCTAATAAAAACTTGTAAAAGGCTTGTTCTATAACAAGGAGATCTTGCAATTTTCCAAAATTTGGTTATAACTATTATCTGGAGATTTCATTTCTTATCCTGTCTTCACATCCCATATACGGATAGAGTTATCATAACTACCAGATGCTAATGTATTTCCATTAGGAGAGAAACAGACTGATGAGACAGCAGATGAATGACCATCTAATTTGGCTTTATATTATCCAGTTTTTGCATCCCATAGACGGATTGAGTAATCATAACTACCAGATACTAATGTATTTCCATCAGGAGAGAAACAGACTGAAAAGACATAATGAGTATGACCATCCAATTTGGCTTTTTATTATCCTGTTTTGACATCCCAGAGACGAATAGAGTTATCATTACTACCAGATGCTAATGTATTTCCATCAGGAGAGAAACAGACTGATAAGACATAATGAGTATGACCATCTAATTTGGCTTTTTATTTTCCTGTTTTGACATCCCAGAGACGAATAGAGTTATCCCAACTACCAGATGCCAACAACGTATTTCCTTCAGGAGAGAAACAGACTGATAAGACAGAATCATCATGGCCATCAAATTATCCTTTTTATTATTCTTTTTTTACATCCCATAGACGGATAGACTTATCACCACTACCAGAAGCTAATGTATTTCCATCAGGAGAGAAACAGACTGATAAGACATAATGAGTATGGCCATCCAATTTGGCTTTTTATTATCCTGTTTTGACATCCCATAGAGAGATAGAGTTATCTCTACTACCAGAAGCTAATGTATTTCCATCAGGAGAGAAACAAACTGAGTTGACGCAATCATAATGACCATCTAGTTTGGCTTTTTATTATCCTGTTTTGGCATCCCATATACGGATAGAGTTATCATTACTACCAGATGCTAATGTTTTTCCATCAGGATAGAAACAGATTGATGAGACAGCAGATGAATGACCATCTAATTTGGCTTAATATAATCCTGTTTTGACATCCCATATACGGATAGACTTATCATCACTACCAGAAGCTAATGTATTTCCATCAGGAGAAAAACAGACTGATTAGACATTATGAGTATGGCCATCCAATTTGGCTTTTTATTATCCTGTTTTGACATCCCATATACTGATAGACTTATCACTACTACCAGAAGCCAATGTATTTCCATTAGTAGAGAAACAGACTGATAAGACAGAATCATCATGGCCATCAAATTATCCTTTTTATTATTCTTTTTTTACATCCCATAGACGAATATACTTATCACCACTACCAGAAGCTAATGTATTTCCATCAGGAGAGAAACAGACTGAGTTGACTTACCAAGTATGACCATCTAATTTGGCTTTTTATTATCCTGTTTTGACATCCCATAGACGGATAGAACAATCAGCACTACCAGAAGCCAATGTATTTCCATCAGTAGAGAAACAGACTGATAAGACAGAATCATCATGACCATCCATTTAGGCTTTGCATTATCCTTTTTTTACATCCCATAGACGTATAGACTTATCATCACTACCAGATACTAATGTATTTCCATCAGGAGAGAAACAAACTGAGTTGACGCAATCATAATGACCATCTAATTTGGCTTTTTATTATCCTGTTTTGACATCCCATATACAAATAGAGTTATCATAACTACCAGATGCTAATGTATTTCCATCAGGAGAGAAACAGACTGAGGTGGCAGTGTTAGTATGACCATAAAATAACGCTTTTAATTCGCCTGTTTTGACATTCCATATACGGATAGAATTATCAACACTACCAGATGCTAATGTATTTCCATCAGGTGAAAAACAGACTTATAAGACAGCAGATGAATGACCCTCTAATATAAATAAATCGTTTATTTTTAATTATTTCCAATCACAATCAAACAATTAAGCTCCACTTAAGTTACTTCCATTGATATTTACGTTAAATAATTTTGATTTTGATAAATTACATTTTGCAAAATTTCCTCCAACTAAAGAAGTATTTTAAATTTTTATATTTTCGAAATTTTAGTTTGTTAAATCCACTTTCATTTCAACCAAAATATTGAGTGCATTTGATCCACTTATTATATAATTGTCATCTATTTTGGTGAGATGGACTAAGAATTTCAAAAATTCTTTTATTTTTTCTTCTTGTGATATTTTTTAAATGAGAAATTATCTTGTTTCGGCGTAAATTTCGGTGGAATAATTAATAGAATAAAAATGGTGCTTAATTATGGTTTTGATCAAATTAGAAATTGTATTAATAGTTAATTAAAAAGAATCACGTTATTTTTGTTTTTCCAAAAGTGATATATTTTCAATTTTATTATCATTCTAGGAATATTTTTAATATACATTTGATAGAAACTCTAAGCAATCCTATTGATTATTTTCTTTTGACAATATTTCTATTATAGTATTCATTATTTATATATCAACATCTTTTGATTAAACTAACACTTCATATAAATCAGCTGCAATTAAGAAATCTTATATTGATTTATGGGTAAATTAAAAGATAGCCCCATTTGATTACACAAGTGAACAACTTCGTATATCTTTTCTATAAGATCCAAATTAATCATCATCATTAAAAAAATCATTGAGCCATTTTTCATTTTCTCTTTCTTCTTTATACAATAATCCTTATTGTTAATATTATACTTAAGTCATTTCATTCATGCTCATTTTTTTTGCAAGGTTAGTTGAATATTGTTTTAAATCATGTAGAAAACGATCAATACTGATAGCTTTTCCTAATTTTCTCATCTTTTCAATTTATTTCAGATGGTGTTAATGTATAAACTCCTCATAAAAATCATAATTTTTCAGATTAAATTCTTTTAATGAGTCAATAACTATTTCAATAAAAGCTTTTTCATTTTGAATTGCAAATATTATAAATTGCGAATGGCTTTGACCTAATATTTCCAAGAATTCTTTCTATAATATATGAATTTCTTTAGAAATCTAGGTTTGTATGATAATTGAATTTGCTTCTATTTTATCCCAAAATTTGAAAGCCATTTCTTGAAAATTTATTTTATCTAAATCAAACAATGTAACTTCACATTATTTATCATAAACAACTTTCTAATAGTTTGCATCTCCATTATTTGATGCCAATAGTTCTTACTAGTGTTATTGATAAATTAGGATCAGCTACCTACTTTTGTAGAACTCTTTAAGCATCTTTGGAAAATTCTTTATAAAATTTTATTTCAAATTATTTATCTCAGTTGCTTTAGCAATCATTTCAGGCAACACTTAAATCACTATTTCCATCATATAAGGAGTTACAACCAATTTATTTAAATTAATTTACCTCATCATTTTGTCGTACTTTTCAACGCTCCACAGTTTTTGAAAATTTATGCTCAGACTTCTTATAGCATCTTGACTTTTTAAAGTTATAAACTCATCATTCTTCAATAACAATTAAATATGGTCTATTTATTTTTAATTCAATAGATTATCCCTTTTCAACCCAGATATTTCTTTTGTTAGAAATTATTACAATTATTCCCAAAAAAATTCAAACATTTTGATATCAATCACTCCTCTTTTTGAAATTTGAGTTTACCATTCATAAATTTCAAAAATCAATATTTTAACACTTTAAATTGTAAATTTTTCTAGATATTATTGCATTTATTAAGAATCAAATTTTAAAAGTTTGATTTCTTTTAATTTTTCCTTCTCTTCAGGTTCAAACCATAGAGAATAATTGCTACTTGTAAAAATTTCACTTCTTGTAGTAAAAATAACAAGTGGGTTTGACCAATTCTATTTCAGCTTGTTATTAATATACAAGTTTTTCTAAATATTCTCTAACTTCATCTCATCATAACTGTCCATTATCAATAGAAATCGGAAATCTTTCTTTTCTAACATCTCTTTACATTCTTTCAATTAGAGCTCATCAAAACCATACTAATCTTGATGAAGTGCTTCCTCTACTGCTTAAAACACAGGATTTTTTAAAGAGGGTAATGAAATATATATAGGTATTAGATGTTTATTCCCAATTTTTTAATTATTGTCATATAATTTCCAAATAAATTCTTCTATTTTCTTAGCTGCAGTACTTTTCCCTGATCCAGCTACTCCATGAATTAATAATACCGTTTCTTAATTATCTAATAAAAACTCATTCACTTCCCCTTCTTTATCATATAGATTTTCTAAATTCATCAATATACTCTTTTCTTCATTCTTTTCCCCTTTGTCTAATTTATGAAATATCTCCAATGTTTATAATGGTACATATATAGACCTTACATTTTTATTTCCTGCTTCTTTCAACACTTTCGATTTTCTAATATCAAAAAGTTCTTCAACAGATTTTCCTCTCAGAAATTTTATGTCATTAGTCAAGCTGCTTAGTTATTTCTTCATCTCATTAATTTTTCCCTCTACTCTTATCAAACCTTTTCTGATATGATTAACGAAGTCGGTTATCAATTTAAGTTATTATCCCATTTCACTGATATTTTGAATATATTCATCTAATTGCTCAGTTGTTTCATCCATTTCTTTCAATTATAGCTCTCGTTTGTTCACATTTGCTTCTTGGGTAATTTATTCTTACAAAAAATCGATTCGACTCAGCATTTATTACATTTCTCCTTCAATTCTATAGTTTTAAGTCTACCATCCTTTCTATAAAATTTACATTTACAAACTTATCAAGTTTTAGTGTTTTAATAAATTTCTAACTCTTTAATCTTTTTCTTAAACCCACAATTAAATTAAAACTTATTAACAAAATTACATAATTGTATCTGTGAAGCAATTTGATGAAATCTAAATTATAGTAAAAACTAGACCCTATTTAATTTTCCACTCCTCATTATTTTTAAAGTCTTTATACTTTTGATTCAACACATCAAATAACCCTATTTGTTGATTTGATTCTGCATCATCTTCATCCTCTTCCTCTTTTCCTAATAGATATATTTTTTTAACTTATTGAATAAGATATTCTTAATCAATTTATTTTTCTAAGGGTAAACACTTTAGTTTTCTTAATTTTTATTGCGTCTCAAACAAAAAATTATTGAGAAAATCACAAATATTTGTTTATACTGTTATATTGCTATCATTTTTTTCATATTGAATTTATAATATACTGATTTATATTCTATCAAAATACTCTTTAAATGATTCATTTTGCATTTAATATAAGTTAGCAGTTGTCCAAAATGATTATTCAAATTTATTAATATGTTCTTTGAGGCAATTAAGAAAAATATTTGTAATTTTTCTTTAAATCTCTTTTTTATAGTCCTGAATTAGAACAATAGTATTTCTAAACTATTGAATTTCTTCAAATAATTATGTTAATTGCTGTTTCTATTGTGTAATTTTTTTCTTTTTTATTTTTACAACATTAATGATGATTTATAAATTTTTTTCACATTTATCATTAAAACAATTAAGAACATTTTTTTGCTTAACAAAATTTTCATTTTTTTCATCATTCAATTAAGATTTATAATTAATTTTTTCTTCCTCATTTTATTAATCATTCAATTAAGATTGATAATTCCTTTTTTCTTCCTTATTTTGTTTATCATGAAATTTTTTTTTTAATTCTATTTGCATTTCTAGTAAATTGTTTAATAATTCTAAAATAAGTATTTATAAAATTTATAGATTTTAATTATAGGAATTCTTCAATTCTTTAACAACTTTATCGATTTGATCAATAAACTATTTGAAATGTTCTATATTATTAAAATTGCCATTTTTCTCAATAATCCTGAATTATTACTAAACATTCTCATATTTTTCTTTCTCTATAATCAATTATGATTGTTTAAATTTTTTATCAGCCACATTTTTAATTGATTCCTTAATTGATATATTCCCAATAATCTTCATTATTCTTTCGATTAGTGTAATTGAGCTAGATTCTTCTATAAATAATTCTTCAAATTCCTTCTGAATCAACTCTAGATCCTTTTATTCTGTCTGAATAATTTATTCATCTATACTCAATTTAAATATTAAGTATTCTATTGTTCCTTGATACTTAGATAAATTATTTTACAAATCTTCCTCAGTGAATTTCAATGCGATTAATTCAGGTAATATTTATTATTAATATTAGTTGTGACAGGCGATTAATTTTTGGGGGTAATTTATAATTACATTAAGGAGAAATTCATCCAAATTGATAACTTGTTATAACTATTAAAATTCTTCTAATTAGGCTAGAAATATATTTTAAAAGGACTCCTTCAAAGCAGTTAGCTTTAATTTGAGCTTTAAATTCTTCAATCTTAACTTATATACAAATTCAAATGATAAAATATTAGAAATTTATTATTAAATTTCTCCAAATTCTTAAACAGACTCTATTTCATACTGTGAAATTAATATTGCCTAAAAACATAAAATGGATTCATTAACATCTTTTTGAATTTCTTCAATCTGTAGATGTTACTGAAAATATTGATGATTCAATAAACTCTGAAAACATTCAATAAATTTATACTTTTTAAGTGAAATAACTTCTAGCCTTAAGATTTATTTTTTAGAATCTTCAATAAGTCTTAACATGCTTTTAGCTTTTTTCAAAAAGCCCTTTTAGTCAGGAGTTGCAATTAGCAAGTCAAGAAGTTACTAGTATAACTTGTTGACAAATGAAAACTGGTTATCTTTCAGATTTAGATTTTTTAATTGCTCCTAAATCAACTCTTTCTATTACTAAAGTATTATTATTTCATCATTTAAGCCATCTTGCTTGCAGAGTTGATTTATTTTATTTTTAATTTCTTAAATTGCTTATAATAATATTTCTTCTAATAGTTTCATCAAATATTTAAGTTAAAATAACATATTAAATTCAAATACCTATTTGAATTATTCAGCCGAACAGTTATTGTTAATCTAATTAAGATTAAAAATCTTAAGAATTTTTTATGTATTTTACAAATATTCATCTAAGTTGCAAATTATCTTTTTTAATTAAGAATCAACAGTGCTTTGTAATAGTCTTTTGTTTACCCACTCATTTTTCCTAAATTATTTCTAAACTTTAATCACCTCCCCCAAATTTTCATTATTTTATTTTATTAAATTAATTAATTTCGTTGGAATAATGAAACTTAAAAGCATTTTCATTTTCTCAATAGTTAAAATTTTTTCATTTTTTTAGTAATCTTTTCTAAACAAATCTAATTTAGATTTTAAATAGGAACGAATTGTATATGGTGTATTTTCATTTAATTCACCAATTAAATATTGTTTAATTATAAGAAAGTCTTCCCATCCTTTGAAACTATCTTCCAACATATTTCTATCCAGTTATATCAGTTTATTATTTTAAAGTTAACTAAGTAAAATAACAGCTTAGTCATTTGAATGGTTTGTTTAAATAAGTAATCCTTTTTTCTGATATTCCTTCCACATTTGCCTTGAATTAGCTCCAAAATCGTTTGAGTTCATTAACTAATTTAATCTTTGTTTTGTTAAAAGAGGATTAAAAATTAAGATTTTCCCAATCATTTAAATCCACAAAAAATGATTTTTCCAATTGTTTGAATTTTTCACAAGATTTTCATATATTCCCTAAATTTGTAAAAGTATTTCTTTAAGAATTAATAATTTTTCATTTCTAAAAAATCTTATAATTTCCCATTATAACATGTCAATTTAAAAATACACCTCATATTATTTTCTATTTTTTTTAATTGTATGTATGTTGTGAATTTGGCAGGCTGCCATAAATAAGGATTCAAGTAATTAAGCATTAGGTTTCAATTGAATTAACGATTTAAATATACCACTTACAAATCCTTTTACAATATCTTTCCTTTCGTGATTATTATTTGGAGCCATTTCGAAAGAAGTTTTCGTTAAGAAAAGATAAACTTCGATTTAAATTTAAATCAAATCATTCTTCTCTAATTCTATTTATTATTTTAAATCATCAGAAATGTCTAAAAATTCCTTTTATAAATCAAAATTCATAATTCTATCACTATTCATTACATGGAAACTAAATATAACTTTTGATAGAGATGCTGTAATCTATAAGATATGCAAACATTTAAACGAGTCTGTTCTAATATAGATCAAACAACTTTTCAATAATTTTCGGATTCCCTCTACAATAAGGTTGTATGATTTCATGATATTTTAGGGATTCTGATTGAGTTTGTATATGTTTTCCTCTTAAAAAATAAACCATTGTATGGCTATCATTATTTCTTAAGATTCTATTGAATTGATAGCAACATCAGCTTTAGCACAAATTATTTCAACAAAAGATTTAAATTTGGTAATGAAATTCTATATATCTTAAATATCTGACTGTAAGTTTCCATATGTTCTTGGATTCATTTTAAAAGATCCACAACCACCTCCCCGTAATGAAGATGTTGTCGTATTGACTAAGGCTAACATTTTTTGTAATAAAATTTAAATAATAAATCCATACCGGTATAAAAATGTATAAAAACTTATATTAATTAATACTTAATTATTATAATGATAACAAGTTTCGTATTTTAAAGCGCAATTAATTAATATATCAACTAGTTCAAGAAAATTTTTTTATTTACTTTTCTAAAGTCAAGTGTGTATTTTATCGATTTTTTATTTATCTTTTAGAATATCATTCTAACATAAAAGATTAGCCTATTCTCAAAAGTTGAGTTAATATTGATTTTAATTTACACATTATAGACTAACAACACTTAGTAATAATTATTTCAGTATAATTTATTTTTAAAAGAACTAAATATTTCATTTTATTCTTAATTCATTTATCAATATTAAGATCTTTTGAGAATAGATTCCTTACTGAAGATGATTTTTGAATGATAAATATTGATGGAAATCGTTAGTTATATTAGATTATAATTTTCAAATAAAACCAAAAAATAAATTGTATTTGTTTTTGTTAAAATAAAGATGATAAAAAATATTCAAAATAGTTAATTATTGAAGATTATTTGATATAGAAAATTTACAGCAAATTATATATTTATTCTGGCAAAAATTTTTAAGAACCAATAAACGTATACATTCCCATCACCTAATTTTAAAGTAAATGAATCAAAAAACAATCAAGTTGCTTCTGATGGATTACTTAATTATAAGACTATGTTTGGATTCAATTTAATCAATCGAAATAATAATTATGCCATTTATTGGGCAGTTACTTTGATTTTTCAAATATACAGCATATTTAATTATACTAAGCTCGTATGAAGCTTAAAAATGAAAACAGAGTTTTTGGAATATCAATTTTAGAATAATGAAATTTGTATACATATGTTTTTAATTTATTCTGTTTACCAAAATATATTGTTTCATCTAATTTAAAAATTGAATTCATATTTTAATTTTTGTTAACTAGAATATTTACTCTGTGATCAATTAATTTTTATTCAGAGGTAAAATAAAAAGGATTTTTCGTTCTTCAATCAAAATTCGATTATTTTTCTAATTTAGTTTTCATATATATATTAGTCATCAATTATGTTTATAAAAACTTCTATTAATCCTTAAAAATTTCTGGACAGTCTTAATATCTATAATAAATTTAGTTATATCGTTATCAAATCTAAACTAAAGGTATATTAATTAACATTTAATAATTATTATTCTACATCTGTTGTTTCAACAGCAGGCCTATATAATTATGATGGCTATATTTCAAGTAAATAAATTATTTATTTAGGATTTAAGTTTTTTATTGTATAAGCCTTACTGATTCTTTCATGAAGTAAAATGCATCTATATTTATAATGAAAACATGAGAAGAAATTTATTGTCAAAAATATATGTCTTGAAAGCTTAAATCTTATTCTTTATGAAAATAATTGTACCTTTGCAAAATAATATTTTTTAACTTTTGTTTTCATAGAGTTTTAGTAAAAATGAGTATGTAAATTAATATAAAGAAAATGATTTAGTAATTTAATTTAAAGTTAATATGTTCATAAGATGATCATTAGGATGATATCCACATTATTTGTTACAGTTAGTATTGTAAAGAATTCAGATTAAATTGCTATAAATATTTTACGAGAGGAATCCATCAATCTCATTCAAGGTATATTCAAAAAATTAATATTTTTGTAGTATTCATTGAAAATCAAAATATAGAATGTGATAATTAAATTGATAATCTTATTACACAATTAAAGAGTGTTAATAATAAAATGGAATCAGAAATAAAAATTCATTATAAAAGGAAAGATTAGAATATTTGAATTCTTAGAAAATCAATGATTTCTTAAATTCAATCATATAATTAACTGAATACTTAGAATAAATTATAACTAATATTTCAGAATATATTAAGAAATTAAATAATTCATTTAATTATTTCTATTAATAATAATAATAATATATTATTTAATATAAGCATTTATTCAAATATAAATTAATAAGATAAGATTATTGTATCAAAAGTTTTCTGTAATAAAGGTAATTATTATAATATCATCGCTTAATTCAGATATGTTCTAAATTATAAATTATATATTTGGATGGTAAATAGGAATAGGGTATAGAAATAATTGATAAACCAATATAATCGGATCTTAAAAATCATTTATTCTTATGGTATAAAGGTAAAATAAAGAATATCAATAGGCGATAATTTATGAATTTATGAATAATAATTGTATATATAAAACGATTAAATTAGTTTGCGGATACAATCACTATTTTAGACAAAACATTAGTTATTCAACCTAATCATGTCTATTCCTTATGCTGGAAAGGTAGATTAAAAATATGTAAATTAAAGGCATTTGTTTTTGAACTTATTAATCATAAAATTATATTTAAGATAAATGGAACATGGAATCTATTAAATTACTCGATTAAGCACTATCTATTGAACCACAACATATTTTATCTCTTAAATCCAAAAATATTTATTATTGTAAATTTAAGGATTTTGTTAATCCAATAAATAACATAGATAGAATATGAATTAAAGTATAAAGATGCTTATTTATTATGAATTAGTATTAAATATAAATCCTGATTAGTGAAAAAAAATAAAAATAGATATTCTAAAATATTAAAATTAGATTTTTGTAAATGAAACCTTAAATTTCTCGGGCTTCAAATATTAATTTTTTAATATTTAGAATTGAAAGAAATCAATATTCTTTTTCACTACCTCAACAATCTATCAATTTCACACATTGTCCAACTATCACATAGTACTTTGGTTTCATGTCCTGAAAATAAATTATCTTTTATGCATTATCTATGAAGTTTTAGACATCTAATTATTTTAATTAGTTTTAATACTTAAACCCTATAATTCCTCATTATTTTTTTAAAACAAATTTGGTTTCTTTAGATGAAATTATAAAGATTCTAACAAAATAAATGCGGTATAATTAAAAATTCTTTAAGGAATACATAAAAAAAGAAAGAATTAGTTAAAATTTATTCATAATCATTTTTAGTTTCAAATTGAAATTATATAAAATTGAATTTTATATAAACAATACCTCTTTTTTTTTCAATATAGTTTTTGAAACTATAACTATTTTCTGTTTAAGACTTACAAAATTTATTTTAAAATAAAATCAAAACAAATAATTTGGTCAATTAGAGGTTTTAAGTGATTTTGAAGAAGGGAAACTTTTGGACGAAATATCAGGATAGTATTTAAAATAAATGAATTTGAATTATGATACCAAAACATTAATTGAGTCTAGCAAAATTGTAACTAGTATCTATTTCTTACCTATATCCAATTCTTTAATAATTATAAATAATTTTAATAATATTTTCTATTTATACTGATAAAATGTAACCTTAAATTGTGATAATTTTTTGATTTTTTTTTTAACTTTGGTTTGAATTCGAAAAAAAATTTTAGAATAATCTTATAATGATGGTAAATATTACTTTTATAATTTAATCCATTTAAGTGAATAACACATATTAATAAATCATTATTTTTGCTCATGTTAAGTTGAATTTCAATATACAAGTTTAAAAATACAAAACTTTTTCGTACATAGCTTAATATCAAAATTTTTCAAATGTCTTCAAATAATTGTAATTATATAAAATCTACTTTCATTCCCTCTTCTGGATGAATATATAATTCAATGATATTCATCAAAGGATCCTTTTATTTAGATTTCTTTAAAATGATTCTCTCTACTTTTAATTCATTCATAACTTCAAAGATTACTGATTTTCATCTCTATATAAATTTCTGACAGGTCATCTCATTCCTTGATTTTGATTATCTTTCAAAATTTTTTAGGATAAATTTAATTAGATAGATCAGCCTTATTCTTATAATATGTTGTGATTCTAAGACTTATATTTTTTATGATAAATCCAAATCATTTAGTAAGAATATAGTTTTTTCAATTTTCAGGAGAATCCGCTAGTCTAACTTTTACTGATTTTATGCATATAATAATTTATAGAAAAATTAGAACACAAATCAATTAATTTCATTGTAATTGAAGATTAATTAAATTAATGACTTATACATATAATTAAAACAAATTAGTAGATTAAAAAAAGTATTTTATTCATTTAAATATCATACTTTATTTTCATACTTATATAGATTAGATAAATGAAATCTAGGAATCAATAAAAGAATAGTCCATAATGAGTTAAATTCTAATTTTAAACATTTGAAATAATTTATTATGAATGGAAACAATTAAATCTCATTTCAAACCATTATCTTTAAATTGTTAATTTTTATTAAGTATATTTAGACTATTTTCACCAAATGCACATAAATAGATTTATCGTTTAAGAAATTTAAGTTTCATGATAATTTGGTTATAAAAAATATGAATCAAATGAATTTTTAATAAGTTAAATTCTGTAATTATTAATTTCTACTAGAGGATTATCATTATGCTTAGATCTTAGCTGATAGTAGTTTTATAAGTTGTATAGAGTTTGTTTAAGATTCCGATATTTTCACACAATTTCATTACATCATGCTTATACAAACTTTACTCCACAAATAACATAATAGTGAAATAATAGATTAAATGATTAAAATAGATTAAACAGAAGTAATTTTGAAAAATTTGAATCCGAATTTCATTATATTCCAAGTTTAGTAGAACAAGCAACATTATATAAATTCAACATAATATAATTTGTTTTAAAAAATTATATCATGGAATATTGCTATTAAGCAAAAAAACGCAGATACTGAAATATAAGGTTTGAAAAATTAATTCTTATAACTTAATTCTTCGATTTTTAAGGAAAGAAAGGAAAATTATCATTATAGTTTTTGATAGTAGTGCTGGGAATTAAAATTATGTTTGTTATTGAATTCACAATATAAAATAAAGACTATTAAAACTTATTCACTAAAATTTCTTCATTAAATATTTTCTGAGCAATATTTATTTTTAGGCAATCATTTATGTTGTTGAAATGTTGATTAATTTTGGTTAAGAAATAGGGTTCCCCTCAATGGATTTTAATTGAAACCTAAAATGTAATATTACAATAATAATTAAACATTACATCTTTTTCCTTCAATGTTTAACCAGATGATCTACAGTAGGATATTCTAATCATTTTTTATTTTGATCGCTGCAAAATATAATGTCTATATTGTATTATTGATATTCTGATGTACAAACTGATATAATAGAATTATTTATCGATGGTATTATTTTTTCATCTAATTTACCATTATCAGGAATCATAATATCCAAATTTAAAAATATTGTGAATTTTAATAATAAAACTATGGTTGATGTAAAAGGAATAAAGCTGTTAGAAATTGAAATTATTTTTTTTCCTTCTAACCATTATAAAAGCGATCCAGCTCAATTATCAAAAGGAGGTTTCGGAATAACTACCTAATTAATTACCCAATATATAGAATAGGTGTTATTGGTTGTAATCATCCTATAAGTTTTTCGAATAATATTGAAGTAAGTATTCAATCGATTCAGCTTTAAATTGATCAAACAATTTTGCCAATAAACTAAAATTTTCAGTTAAATCAACTTCTATATTGAAACAAATTAATATCGAAAAAAGTATGAGAAAAATTAAAATTAACTTTTATTTTTCCAGGGGTAGGGAAAGATAATTGAATAGTAGATTGAAAAGAATTCACGTTGATAAATGGAATGTTTTAATAAGAAAGTATGCTTTGAACTAACATGTATATATACTTAAAGGATGAGAAAAATAAATATCAAAGTAAATAAGGCTAATCCAAAATTCATTATTCAGATATAATGATCAAAATTATAATTGCAAGTAATTTATAAAAGGCTTGCAATAAAAATATCTAAGATGAATAAATCAATAATTGAAAATAAATTTGATTAAAAATTTTATTGATATTTGTAGCTAAATTTAAAATGTGACAATGATAATTTATGTAATTTTAAAGTTGTTATTAAAAATTTTCATGATTTTTTTTTTGAGCATTATTTTAACCTTCAACTTTTTATTATTAATAGCAAATTGTGTAAATATAAATTTTTCTGTGTTTATTGGGCTGTTGTAGATAATTTCTTCTGAAATATCATCACAATAAAAGAATTTAAAGCATAAATTAAGATATAAGTAATTCAATAGTTGTTTACAAATTTTCAAAATACTACGAATAAAAATTGAAAAAAAACACAAATAAAAACGAAATTACCTCTAGAAATCAAAAGTCAAATATAAAATTCTTAAATATTTTATATAAATAGTGGTTTAACACCTTTTTCAGAAAACTTTTGAGGAGCTTCAAAATAATAAGAATCTGTAGGTTTATTAAGTTCTATCATATTTGGAATGGTAAAAATATCATCCCATTAGATATATTTGAAAAATTATTTAACATTAAGAGGATAGTCAATGTTAAAATAATAGAAATAAATTATCCAAGTTAGAATCTCCAAAATAGTCCAAAAAGAGTCTAATCCACCAAAGAAGATTGTAAGAGGTCCAATAAATTGTAGGATGAATGTGAATTAATTATAAGCGCTGACTATTTATTAGGCATATACTTTTTAATACACATTGTAAAATATTTATTTTCTAGGTGTTATTAAAATTTCTCTAATTTCATCTAAAAACCTTAAGGTTTTATTAGATATAGTATCATTAAATGAATTAAATTTATCTCTGAAATAGTTTTAAGAAATTCAAAGTCGATTTAATAACCGTAAAATGATGTTTCATTTATATAAAATTATGTAAGTTGTACTTAAATTCATGCTTTTCAAAAAAATTAATGTTGATTTGGATTAAAGAGCATATATTGACAAAATTAATCTCACTTTTTAATACTAAATTATTATTAGAGCTTGGTTAGTAAAATCAACATAAACTTTTTTTTCAGGAATCTTTAAAAAAATATTTCTTGTACATTCATAGCCCTTTTCAGTTTCACTAAAAGAAGTAAAACAACTTTATCTTATTTATTACAATCATCACATTGTTCATCCCCTGATTAAATATTATCTCCGCATTTAGGAACACATTTTCTTAATTCAAAGTCAGCATATAATCCTTAACTATTATCACACTTTTCACATTTTTCAATTCTACATTTGGTACAATTATTTGGAGTCTTTTGCACTCTTCACATTACTCTGAACATTTGATACACTCATTTTCAAGTAGGAAATACCCTTTTAAGCAAGAAGTACATTTGATATTTCCTTCTATTTAGATGCAATTTGCACAATTCGATTGGCAAATGAAGCAAATACTTCTTTCTTATACTTTTATACATTAGTAGCCTGGATCAATAATGCATTAGGTACAACCATCTCTTGAAGCATTGTTGCCATCATCGCATTATTCAGATGCAAGAACTATTCCATCTCCACATGTACTTGTACAAACTTAATTTTAAATGTTGTATCCGTCAAAACACTCGGTACATTTGCCTTGTATGCAGATTTTACATAGTAATTCTCATTAAAATTGGCATTTATTACATCCATCATTAGGCTCATCATTTCCATCATCGCATTATTCATCACCAGCTTTAATTTGATCTCCACATTTTGTAACACGTATATTTTTAATATCATCATAATACAATCCTTTTGACTCATCACATTATTTCCTCTCTAAACATCTTTCCTTCTTTTAGTCATAAAAATAGGATTGTATACAGGATAGGCATTTATATTTTGGCAAATTGTACAGGTCTCTTGACATTAGAACTGACAATAAGTACAACCATCATAAATAATATTAATTCCATCATCACAATTTTCTTAAGGTGTTATGATTTTATCTCCACACACAGAGTCACAAGAGTTAGTTTTGAAATCTAAATAGTAGCCTTCAGAGCATTTAATGCATATTTCTGAATGACAATGTTAGCAATTAAAAGGACAGTTATATATTACAGTTAATATATGTTACTTAATAATTTTAAGTTAGATAATTGTATTATTCATTCTTAGCTAAAATTTCTTCTCCAACAATTGAGACACAGTTCTACTCTAGATTATCCCTTTTTCTAAAAAAAAATTATAAATTGGAGCATGATAAACACATTGATGAACAATTTATATCACTCTATAAACAAGTTGTGTAGATAATATTATTTTATTTATCTTTTCAAATAGTCAATGATTAAATCGTCCCGTTGATGAAAAAAATCTAAATTTTAACCTTGTATTAAATAACTTTTAAAATATGTAAAATACATTTATTCCATTTGTTGCATAATCTCTTTTGTTTATAATCCTAATGATTATAGAGCGATGGCTTTTATATAATTATTGTATTCACAAAATTAATTGATTACCGTTCTTGATTGTTATAGGATTAATAAGGAAAATTAAAATCTATTTAAGAAGGAATATCATCTTCATAGTTTATTTTGATACATCTTTTTGGATTAATAAATAGTTTGAAAAACATTTCAAGCATATGCCCTTTAAACAAAGAGCACATGTATCTTAGCAATTATATTAACAAAGATGACATCCATCATCAAATATCAAATTTCCATCATCGCATTATTCGTCAGGTGTGACAGTTTAATCACCACAAATAGTAAGGTATTATTTATCACGTAATTCATATCCAATTTTGCATTTTAGGCATCCATTTCCTTCAGATAGGTCACATTTAAGACAGGATTCTCTGCATTCACATCTATGTAATCTTGAGTTTAATAGATATACATCAACAAAATTGAAGACATATATTGGATAGACAAGTTTCACATATTGATGGTTTTTAGCATTTAAACTTACAAGCCGATGTGCAACCATCATTATCATCTGCGAAATTATCATCATCACAATATTCAAAAAAATCAATATCAGGAGCTGATACAATTATTCCATCTCCAAAAATATTTTTACAATAATTTGATTATTATGTTAAGCCGTCTCTACATTTTAAGCAAAAACCCTAATTTAAATCTCACTCTAAGCAATCTGGATACCAATAAAATTAGCAATTCTTACAGAGTTTATTAGTTAATTCGATAGTATCGTCACATTTTTCTGTTCCTACTTTTTCCCCATCTCTACATTATTTTTTACAAATAAAGTTATTTGTTTAAGTATCCAGATACCAAACTGAAGTTGCACACTCATAGCATACTCCTAGAATACAATTTTTACATTCTGTTTAACATTGTAATTTACAATTATAACATCCACTATTTGCTGAATTAGTCTTATCATCATATTCTTCAATTTAAGCAATTATACCATCCCCACAAATTCAGTGAGTATAATTTGAATTACAAGGATCACATAAAGTATTGATAGGACAGTCAAAGAATAAAGCAAGACTACTAACATAATATTTGTTAGAAGGCCTTTCACACATGTTATTACTGTTATTGTAGGTAAAACCATTAATACAATCTTGGCAATCATTTTAAGATGTGCATTTCTTACAAAATTAAAGACATACTAAACAGTTTTAATTATCATCATAATAGCCTTCTTTACAAGTGCATTAATTATTAATTAATATTCGAAACTTTACAAAGTCACATTAATTGCAAATTACATCATTAATACATCTATCACAGTTTTAAGAGCATTATTGACATTGCTGTTGATTTGTATCAAAATATTAATTAGGAGAACAAACACACCCTTAAATTGGATTAATGACCCCTTCCTTACAAGTTAAACAATTTTATAACGATGCGCAAGTTTAGCAATTATTTGGACAATTCAAAAATTAATTTAAATGCCAATCATAAAATTAATTATTCTATTAGCATGTAGGAGATAGAACTGCACTAGGATTTTATCAATCTATTTCATTTTTACAAGCTTGACAATCAGTCCTACAATAATGAACAGTAATATAAAACTGATAAAATCCACAATAAGCTTCTATAGGTTCATTATTAAGACCTTAACATTCCCAATCTATTTTGAGAGTAGTTAAAGAATGTTAGTGCTATTCGAATATTATTTTTGATGTATTAGATTTTGTCAATTCTTTAATAAGAGTGTCGTCAATCCAAGATAAAAATTTACCATCTTCCTGAAATTAAGGACCAAAAACAACAATAAAAGCTATAGACAAACTATGATAAGGATCAATAATATTGAATGTTCTTGAAAATCTAGCCTACGCCCATATAAATGGTCCTCCAAAGATTCTCTATTTGTTATTCCAAATTGAATAATAGATATTAGCTCCTTTAAGGAAGTTTTAACCTGTTTAACTAATAACTAAATACTCAGAATACGTAACAGGATTAATTTCTAATCCAATAAATTATTTTATTAATACTCTGGAATCTACAACTAATTAATATTATAATACTTTTTGTTGCATCCGTAGTATTAAAATTTTAGCAATGAGTATCATTAATTTTAAATTAAAATCACTGTTGCATAGAACACATTGGCTCCATTTTGAAATGTAATAATTTGTATTGCATTTAGTACATTTGAATTTTTCTCTGCATGTTTAACACTAAGAGGGACAATACCCTGATGTAATTTCAATACTCCGTATAACCCATCCAGCGTTGATATCTAAAAATACAATTTAATTTTACGTATAATTGCGTATTAATTTAAGAGTAAAATATTTAGTTAAGTTTGTATACAAATATATTTGATATAATTGATTATTCGAATAATTTATTGTATTCTCAATGTAATTTGGCTTAGAAAAAATTACCATATATTATAAAATTATCTGTTTACACACTTGTATTATTTTGATATATTTTTCCATAATAAGTGTAATTCATACGTAATTAAATACTGCTTTCAGGTGGCATTTGATTAAATAATATTAAAGTCAGGTTATATTGATTATTAATGTTTAAAATTCTATAAATCCCTTAATTCTTTTTAAATAACCCAAGTACATAATAATTATCAAAGTAGAAATTCTAGGAATAGGAAGATGAAGTTGAGCAAAATCATACAACATTTGCCAGTTATATTGTTCAGTAGTTTTTTTTATCATATAAACCAAGCCAGTAATGGTTTGGTAAATCACCCCAGCATTGTTTACAATTCGGATGGCATTTTAGAGTTGAATATATGAAATTCTTGATCGATACATTACCCATTAAAGTAAATATAGTAAATTAATGAATTCCTTTAATCGAAGTTTAATTAATTGTAAAATTAACAATCTATATAAATGCCTGTTTTGAATCACAAAATCCCTATATTTCAACTTTTTGTATGGAATTATTATAAATCCAAGCATATTTTTAATTATTGATTGAATAAGTCAAATTCTCTAGCTCATTCCAAATACCAAAAAATATGAGATCAAATGTTATAACAAATATTTAACCATCAAAATCCTAAGATTTATAATATTAAGCTGATGATGAATAGTTGTTAAGTGTTATGTAGCTTCCTTATTAAGTACAATTTATAAAATTTGCAGTTGTTTAACTTGAATCTTTCTTTTCATTAAACCCTTCAGAATACTAATAGCAATCGTTAGTCTTCGAAAAATCAAAGTTTTTATTTAAGTGAGGTAAGATGTAATAGTAGTCCATTCACAATTTGAAAAATGGAAAAATAGTAGAATGACATTGATCAATAAAACCATTTTTTAATTTTAATAATTTTTTGTTTTCCTTTTTCTTTTTATATGCTCATATCATTCTGTAAAAGGCGATTTTAAAAAAAATAAATTATTATGAGTATGATATATATATTTTTCCCTCTTAAATGTGCTACAATTTATATACTTATTACAAATGTGATGGGAAAAAAAATATTAATAATTGAGTTATGTAAAAAATGAAAAAAAATTGAACTTTATTTTGAACAAAATGTTCATATAATGAAGTCTTAATTTGAATATATTTTATGTATAATTATTATAGGAAGATTTTATTGGTTAAACTATGGAAAGTCATTCTATGTAATTGCAGCATAAAAGTCTATTACTCAATATCAATTAGGCGGATGATTGAATTTAGATTTTGGCAAAGAAAAGAAATTTCTAATCAATAAGAGAGGAACATTATAGTATTATTTAGGGGATTTTATTTAAAAAATATTTTTATTTTTTGACATAGTATTCCTCACAAGTTATTGTTGATTTTATTCAATAGTATATCAAAAATTGAAAAGAAATTATTCTATAATTCTTATAATTAGATGATAAATAAAATGAAAGGAGAAACATATCATGAAAATAAAATCTCTAAAATAAAATGAAAAAGATTGAATATTTTGAAACAAACATTATATGCTTATTGTTGATGGAGAAAGTGTTTATTTATTCAATAGATTAGTTAAACAGTGATTAAGAATCAGATGAAATATAATAGAAAAAGATATACTTTTCTCCTCTCATTTAACAATACAAAATGATAAATTATTAATTTTTGGTTTAAAATATGGATACAAACTAATGATGTTAGATAAATATTTAAATCAGGATCCTTAATATATTAATGATTTTTCTATTTCTGATGATTCATCTTTGTTAGTTTTGGCAGCAAACAGTGGTATCAGACTTAAAAATTTAGAATCAAACAAAGAAATATTTATACCTTGAACCAAAAATAACTATTAATAAGATTTATAGAGTAAAATTAAAAGTAGATAATCTTTTTTGTATTTAGTTAAAGATAAACTTAACAATATCATTAACCCAATTATTTATTTTTTCCTATTTCATTTTATGTGAAAATAAAATATACTAGATACATAATTTAGAATAATCTAATTAAATGATGATATTATCTAATAAATTTACAACTATTCATGAATTAACAGAAAAAGGAAATAATCAATTTTTCGAAATTAAGAATGAGTTTAGTATATCAAAAGATTGTTTGATATTACCTAATTCAAATAACATTATGATTGGTATTGATATTGGTATTCTTCTATGTAATTCATTAAGATACATATTATATATATAATGCTTTTTTATCTTAATTTAAAGATATATATTATTAAAGTTTTTCTTTGAACTGTTAAAGATTACACTTATTTTTTCCCTCAGATGTATAACATTTAAAGAACATATTATTGAATAGAAACACCTTTAATATTTGAAAACATTAGGAGTTATACTGGGAGGATAAAATTTAATTACAATAAGTCAGAATTTTAAAGGAAATCCCAAGCCATGAATATTTGGTCCAGTGAATGATTCAAAAAGGAATGTTATTTATTTCTAAAACTTATTAATAAAATAATAATATAAAGAAGGGGAATAAATAATAAGAATGTCAAAGAATGTAAGAAAATGGAAAATTAATGATTTTATATAGATTTGAGTTTTTCAAGAGGATCATTCAAAAAAACTTGTAATTCTACAACTTTAATGATAAAAAATTTGAAATTCTTTTGAGCAACTAATAATATGGAAATTGTTACTATTGAATTTTCATCCTTCATTCATCTAAGAGTACAATTAGAAGGACATTAAAAATCATGATTAAGAATAATAAGGCATGACTAAAGTATTTAATGTATCCCAAGCATATTGATAACTTGCAGCAAAATATAAATGTTAAATTTTATTTACAACATTTAATATCTAAAATTAACGGAGTCTACTCAGATATCCTAAAATTGACTTTTGATATCCAGAAGAAAATAAAATAATTTTCTAAAATTAACTAAGAAAGAAGATGTCATAGATTAGGATTGTCTATATAACATCGAGGATCATTCTTAATACCTTTTAGTTTAAGTTTGATAAGAACAATCATTTTATAATTGTAAATTAAATTTATATAAAAAATAATATGATAATTAGATAAATTAATTTATGAAATATTTTTTCAAACTTATTTCATTCAATTATTGTAATATTAATTGTGAATATTATATTTAAGTATTGAAGATAAAATATACATTAATTGTAATTAGTGTTAACTAATAAATAGGTTTGAAGTCAATTTCCATTAAGTTACATACTTATGGTGGAGTAATAGATGGTACAAACAACTCCAAAAGAGAAGGAAAGAATGGAGAGTAGGTTTCTGGTGATCTTTTTACTTTAACATACAATTAATATTAAATTATCCTAATTAGAGAGGATCTACTTTTTTGGTACATTCTCTTTTCTTTTTGATTTGATTACTCAAGCCTTATAATCAATAAGAAAATAAAAATATTTAAAAAGAATATTGTTAAAAATTAACATTTTTTAACACGATCATTTGCTTTCTAAAGTTATTACATGAATTAATATTTAAGTGCATTCTTGAAAAATATCTCGATTTATAACTATAAAATATCATAGTTTCCTC